TATTTTACATTATCTAATATTATATTATATTACATTATAATCTGTAATTTATACTACTCTCTGTAAATTTATTTGATTTTAGCATTGAAACCCGCTCAGCTACCAATTTCCCACTATTTTTCAAAGCCTAACAGCCAAAGAGCTGCTAACAGCAATGGAACAAAACGGAATTGAAATATAAGAGAGCAAGCAAGTCGTCTCTCCACACACACACACACAGAGTCAGACCAAAGCCGAGCACAGCTGAAACGACCTTCGCTTCGTGCAAATTCGCTCAATCGAGCGCGCTCTCTCTCTTCATCTAGCATCTGGCATCTCTCTTACGCTCGGCAGCTGTCTCGCTCACTTGCTCGTTGCGTGCGCTTTCGCAACCTCAGACAACGCGAAACAGAGTTTTGGATGCGAGCACACACATATACATTTGTAAATGTATATGTATATATATTTGCAGTTTTTGGGCAAGTTGGCTCGGCTTTTCTTAGCCCCACATCCGTTCGGCTGAAAGTCGTGCGTGCGGCCCAAGTGGAAAACCAGGTAATGAGGAGAGCAAAGCTTTTAGTCTTGCTCGGTTATTGGTGCTGTGTGGTTGAGACGACGACAGGCGCTGCGAGGACCGACAGAAGAAGCGACGACGGCAGAAGCGACGACAACGACAACAACGACTACGATTCCCAGTGTCTCAGCATGAGCGTGTGTGCGGGTGTGCGTGTGTGAATTAGCAGTGAAAAGGCTAAATTAGGTGTGTGTGCATATGATGGGGCAAAAACAAAACAAAAACTACAACTAAAGCGAAAACTAAACTGAAACACGTAATAAGAACTCCGTGAGTGAAGCACTGCATTAAGTAAAAAGTAAAAACAAAAAACAAAAAGAGAAAAAAAAAAAAAAAAAACATTCGCGAGTGGCATTCACATTCACGTGTTGTTGCTGGCTCGTCGTTTGACAAATTAAAATGCATAAATTATGAATGAAAGTACCGTTACGTGCGTGACAACTAATAATTTGTTATTATTCTAAACGCACGTGGCCAACGCTCGAAACACTTCGCGTCAACTCTAACTTGGCAGACAAGGCCAACAGTGAGCCGGGAAAGCGAACAGCCCCAACTACTCAATAAGCCGAAACAAACAAAAAAATATGCCAATTGCCGGCAGCGGCTCAGAGGCAAAGCTGCCTTTTCATTGCCAACAGCGGCGACTTCCTGGCCACAAAGCATAATAAGACGCAACAACAGCAACAGCAACAGCAGTAGAAGACGAAGCAGCAACAACAACAACAGTCAGCAAGTGAGCATTCGAGTGAGTCGCACAACTTAAGCCATATTTCCCTTGAGGGGGCCACTCTGCTGGCCAGGATGCTCTGCACCATTTTTTTTTTTCTATTACTTTTTTTTTATTTTGGTTTTTTCGTTACAAATTTCTGTTAAACTTTTATGCGTAGCGGGCGCGCCTCAGGTGTCAAACATAAATTACAATAATTATGAAATTCTAGCTATAAAACGGCCAGAAAACACGGCCCATTTATCTAGCCCCGAATTGCGGCCATTTATGGGCCCAATTAAAGGCTGGGAAATATATTTAAGGTAGCTTAAAGTAAATGAAAAGTTTGCCTTTGTATTGAAGTGAAGAGATTGCATATTTTGTTATATATAA